CCCATTGCTCTGGGAGCCCTGGGGTGGGAGGGAGGGCTCAGTTGCTGTCTACTTAGCGCAGGGCACCACACATCTCTCTTAGAAGCACCTACGGAAAGACCGTCAGCTGTTCTTTGCTGGTGAGAAAACTCAAACCAGTGAGAAAAACGCCAACAGTGTGACTACAGAGCACACCCAGTCGGCCACAGTTCTTGAGGATCTACACATTGTTTCTTTTTTTTCCACTTTTTTTTTTTTGAGACGGAATCTTGCTCTGTCGCCCAGGCTGGAATGCAATGGCACCATCTCGGCTCACTGCGACCTCTGCCTCGCGGGTTCAAGTGATTCTTCTGCCTCAGCCTCCTGAGTAGCTGGGACTACAGGCGCGGGCCACCACACCTAGCTAATTTTTGTATTTTTAGTAGAGACAGAGTTTCACCATATCTGCCAGGCTGGTCTCGAACTCCTGACCTCATGATCCGCCTGCCTCGGCCTCCCAATCCACTTTTATTTTAGATTGAGGGCGTACGTGTGCGGCTGTTACAAGGGTATGCTGCGTGGTGCTAAAGTTTGGGCTTCTATGAATCCTGTCACCCAGACAGTGAACCACAGGAAGTAATATGCCCAGATAGTATCCGATAGAAAGTATTTCAGCCCTTGCTCCCCTCCCTCCCTCCCTCCCTCCCTCCCTCCTTCTGGAGTCCCCAGTGTCTACTATTCCCATCTTCTTTATTTGAGACACGGTCTGGCTCTGTTGCCCAGGCTGGAATGCAGTGGCACGATCGCAGCTCACTGCAGCCTCAATCTTCTGGGATCAAGTGATCCTCCCAACGAAGCCTTCCAAGTAGCTGGGACTACAGGCATGCACCACCACGTCCAGCTACTTTTCATATTTTTTGTGGAGGCTGGACCTCCCTATGTTGCTCAGGCTGGTCTCAAACTCCTGAGCTCAAGCAATCCGCCTGTCTCGGTCTCCCAAGCGCTGGGATTCCAGGCATGCACCAGTGCCCGACTTCACTCTTCTTTATGGCTGCATCCAACATCATTTCATTTAGTCCTCTCAGCTGTTCTGACGTCAGCACTATTATCTCCATTTCGCAGATGAAGAAATGAGTATTTGTCATTTCAATGAATCTTCATGGAGCCCTCACAAATGACGACATCTCCATTTCATATCACGAGACCCAAAGGGAAGGGTGCATGTGAGAAGCAGAGCCAGGATGCGAAGCCAGGTCTGTCTGAGGCCCTGAGCCCGAAACCCCACACTTTGCATGCCCAGCACACCTGTGTTTCCAGCTCTCACAAAGGCTTCGACAGACCCAGCTCTTTGTGCTAAAAAGCTCACCAAGACACTGCCCCTGCCATCTGCACCTGCCTAGAAACATGACTGGCACTATAATAAATGGCTCCAGGGCCAGCCAACCCACAGGGCATGGGGGGGGATTCCCAGGCTTTGTCTTCCCTGACCGGGTTCCACTCTTGCTAAGAGTCCACTGGCAAAGCTTATTTGAGGGCACGCCTGCACTTGCCTGCAGAAACACCTCGAAACAGCTCCAGCTGTTTGGAAGGCCGGTCATTTGCAAGCAGAAGCATGGGAAGCATTATTAATGACTCACAGTGTGGAACAATGGTCGTAACCACAGACCTGTAGCACCGAGATCAAATCATCCCTGATGGAAAGCTTGGCCAAGACTGGCCCAGTGCTTCTGGGCTGGCGACACAGTGCCAGCATCCCCAGACACAGGGCCCCAAGCCCCAGATCAGGAACCTGGGGAAGCCCAGGCACCTGGGAGGTCAGGGAACCACTGCCCTTGATGGAAAACTTGGGTCCAACCAGGCCAAGCACTTGGCTATCACAAAATCGGGACGAGAAGCCTTCAATCAGCCAGTTCTCTCAAGGGACAGCCCACCTGTGAATTTTCCCCACCTAGCTGGGGAACAGATTCTTTCACACAGCGGTCAAGGCAAATGAGACAGGAAATCACAACCATCACACCGAGATCAGAGGGTGAGCTTCCCGAAGGCTCCTCCTGGGCTGATTCAGAGCCGCATTTCCCTCCCTCAGCTCTTCCTGCCAGGAGAGCAGAGAGCTGGTACCGCCCCACGGCCATCTGGGCCAAGGCCCCGGCAACAGCACCCCGCCTCACCAGCGAGCTTCTCCATCTGGACCAAGGTGTCCTCGGTCGGAGCACCTTCCAGGAGCTTCTCAGTCAGCCGGCTGCCACACGCCTTCAGGAGCCTGGAGAACACAGCGCCAGCTATGAGCCTTCTCGCCAAAGGACAAAGCAAACCTGACGCTCACCCAGCCCCGATCCTACCAGTTTAAGGAAAACATGGGTATAAAAGACCACCACCAGGGCACAAGCAGCCAGATCCCGCATGCAGGCAGTTCCATAAGCCAATGACCAAGGTCCTTCAAAAGACGGATGGGAGGAACCTGGACAGGAGGGGATGCAAGGGGGAGCTGTTCTAAACCAGAGAGACTTGGGGTGCTGCTCCGATGCCAGCGCAGTCACTTGTGAGACAAAAGGGAAACTGCACAAGGGCCTGCAGCCTGGAGAACACTCAGGAGTCTGTCCATTTTGTTGGACATGATCACGGTATTATGATCATATTTATGGTTGGAACGATACAACTCAGATTTGCTTTAAAAAAAAAAAAATGGGCCGGGCGCAGTGGCTCACGCCTGTAATCCCAGCACTCTGGAAGGCTGAGGCGGGTGGATCACATGAGATCAGGAGTTTGCAACCAGCCTGGCCAACATGGTGAAACCCCGACTCTACCAAAAATAGAAAAATTGGCTGGATGTGGTGGCAGTCGCCTGTAGTCCCACCTACTTGGGAGGCTGAGGCAGGAGAATAACTTGAACCCAAGAAGAAGCAAGTTCCACCTCAATAAGTTTTCTGCACACTCAGGGGAAGAGGCCCAGAGAACAAGGACTCTCGGCCCAGATCTGTGCTCACTGACAAGTGCCCACAGGCCAGCGCTCCTCGCAGAGGCAGCAAGAAAACTCGGCTAAGCACTGTTCTCCCAAATCTGTGGCAGAACAGATACAAGCCAACCAATGTATCGTGACTGCTCTACACTAACGGATATGCCAAAAGCGGAGGCGCCCGTTACCAGGCAAAGGAGGTGTGCAGGCACGCCCACAAGTTGTCATCACTTGTCAGCGATGTCAGCGAGCGGGCGGCATTGCCGTTCCTCTGGTGTAGGAATGGCGTGAAGGCTGTGTTCATCCTCTGAGCACGCTGTGGGCATCCAAACTGCTCTGCCTCAAACACCTGAAATGCAAAGGGAAGGGACGGCCTCTTTCAGCCAAAGCTGCCGGCAGCCCGGACCCCCACTCATTCACAGCCACCTCCAGGACCTGACTCCTGGAGGCTCAGTCCCACTGCACTCTCTCCGTGCAGAGCACACACGGTGCCACCAGTCCAATCGTTCCCAACAGCATAGCTCCACCCCCGGCTAGATCAGGAGCCACCTGAGCACAGGAATCGGTTGAGCTTCTCCTGTCCCCTTCCTAATGAGCGACCCAAGGCACCCGGGGGGATTCTCGTGAGTGGCCATCTGCGCTGCTCCCCACCTGTCTCCGCCTCCCCTTCTGGGTACACTACTTGGCTAACGCACACGTGACTGGCTCTGGCCAACAAGCTGAGAGAAACAAGGCTCCTAGCACTGTCCATGCTTCTGGAGGGCAGAAGGAGCAACATTTTTTCTTTTTCTTTTTTTTTCTTTTTGAGATGGAGTCTCACTCTGTCACCCAGGCTGGAGTGCAGTGGTGCGATCTCAGCTCACTGCAACCTCCGCCTCTCGGGTTCAAGCGTTTCTCCTGCCTCAGCCTCCCAAGTAGCTGGGATTACAGGCATGTGCCACCATGCCCGACTAATTTTGTATTTTTAGAAGAGAGGGGTTTCTCCATGTTGGTCAAGCTGGTCTCAAACTCCTGACCTCAGGTGATCTGCCCACCTCAGCCTCCCAAAGTGCTGGGATTACAGGCGTAAGCCACCGCGCCCAGCCTAGGGGCGACATTTTCATACAGCTACCACTCTGCCTGCCAGGACAATCACAGGAAGCAGAGCCCCGCTCTCCTGGAAAGCACACAGCATGAGCAAGAAACGGGCCCTGTGGCTTGAAGGTGCTGAGATCCGGAGGCTGTTTGTTACCAGAGTATGACCTGGCCTGGCCTGAGCCGCAGCTCCACAGCTGGAGGCCTACGTTCGGTGGTGCAACTCAATGGGATTAATAGACATCCCTGAGACAAAGGCCAGAGGAAACAAAGATACCAGAGGTCTGACTGCAGCAAAGAAACCAGAGCTCAGCTAGAACTAGGACAGCGGGGGCAGGAGAGACCAGTAAAGCAGGCAGGATGGCCTGGGAGGCTCCCCACCACGACCTCCAGCCCTGAAGCCGAGAGACTACAATTCACACAGTGCAGCGGCTGCAAGCAGAGAGGAAGACGCCACCCGGGCTCCAGGCTTTAACCTCAGCACAGAGCGACTCCTGCAGTGCAGGGGCCCCTGCCACCCTGGCATCTCGCCTCTGCATTCACCTTGAGCGCCTTGCCCTGGAGCTCATCGATGATTCCCCGGACCTTCCCCAGCAGGAAGGGCCAGGAGTTGATGAGGTAGATCCGATCCATCATGATGGTGATGATGCTGTACCAGCGCTGGAAGCCCCTGGCCAGGCTGTCCTTGATGAAGAAGGTGTGGCTGAACACAAAGCCGTGCTGCTCATCTCCGAAGAAGATGGGGCCTTCGCGGCCAGGGCAGACCTGGAGGGACACCAGCGACTCAGATAGCCCTTTCCTCACTTAGTTGTACCAAATCAAAGCCTCTTCTTCAGACTTTTCAGTCAGCTGGCACAAATCAGCCAGCGTTAATAACAGGGGAGAGTGGCACGGTGGGGACCATGAGAGCTAAAGACTGTCCTCTTCTGCTCCTGTGGTCAGGCTGCCAACACCACTTGTCATCGTGGACTGCAAGGGCCAGCAACAAGGTTCACTGCTTTTTTCCCCACCTTGAGCCATAAATAACTCCCATGCATATGTCACACCTCTCCCAGACTCAAATGTACCAGCTTACTCACCCCGAGCATGCAGAAGAACCAGCAGGCCAAAGCAGCCACTGCACTCTCCCTGCACTGAAATCTGCACATTTTATTCTTTTTTTTTGGGGGGAGGGAGGCAGTATGGAGTCTTGCTTGTCGCCCAGGCTGGAGTGCAGTGGCGTGATCTCGGCCCATTGCAACCTCCGTCTCCTGGGTTCAAGTAATTCTCCTGCCTCAGCTTCAAGAGTAGCTGGGATTCCAAGTGTCTGCCACCACGCCTGGCTAATTTTTTTGTATTTTTATGAGACAGGGGGTTTCACCATGTTGGCCAGGCTGGTCTTGAACTCCTGACCTCAGGTGATCTGCCCACCTCAGCCTCCCAAAGTACTGGGATTACAGGAGTGGGCCACCACGCCCAGCCCCACATACTTTCTTCTTCTAAGAGGACTTCGGTCCCTCCTCACAACATAGTTACTCTTCCTTAACACACAATTCTAAGACATGCTGAGCTGCCTGCTAGCAGACCAGAGGTAGCAAATTAAAAGGAGAGGACAGCTGAGGGCAGGCACACAGCCACACTGAATGAGAACAGCAAGGGAGCTCGGTGTGTCTGACTGGGTGGAAACCGATAACAAGGAAGTTTAGTAACTGAACGACGAATTCTTTTTTTTTTTTTGAGATGGAATTTCGCTCTGTTGCCCAGGCTGCAGTGCAGTGGCGCAATCTCGGCTCACTGCAAGCTCCACATCCTGGGTTCACACCATTCTCCTGCCTCAGTCTTCAGAGTAGCTGGGACTATAGGTGCCTGCCACCATGCCCAGCTGATTTTTTGTATTTTTAGTAGAGACGGGGTTTCACCATGTTAGCCAGGATGGTCTTGATCTCCTGACCTTGTGATCCGCCCGCCTCGGCCTCCCAAAGTGCTGAGGTTACAGGAGTGAGCCACCACACCCGGCCGACGGATTCTTTGTAACAGACAAAGACCTAAGAGCTAAGGGTCAAGAGCAACAGCAGCAGCGACGTAATTTAGGAACAAATCATCCACACCTCAGCAGGCTGAGAGCAGCAGGGGACCATCACCGAGACTTGGAATGAGGACTGAGATAATAAAAAAAAGGTGATGTTGATGCAATGAACCACCTAACCAAAAATGCTTCCTATCTTAGGAATACATCCATCAAGAATGGACACACAGGGCTGGGCGTGGCGGCTCACACCTGTAATCCCAGTGCTTTGGGAGGATGAGCCAGAGGATTGCTTGAGTTTGAGACCAAACTGGGCAACATAGTGAGACCTCATCTCTACAAAAAAATTTTTAAAAGGCTGGGCACAGTGGCTCCCATCTGTAATCCCAGCATTTTGGGAGGCCGAGGCAGGCAAATCACAAGGTCAGGAGTTCGAGACCAGCTTGGCCAATACGGTGAAACCTCGTCTCTACTAAAAATACAAAAAATTAGCCGGGCATGGTGGCGCACACCTGTGGTCCCAGCTATTCAGGAGGCTGAGGCAGAAGAAGCGCTTGAACCTGGAGTGGAGGTTGCAGTGAGATTGCACCACTGCACTCCAGCCTGGGCGACAGTGAGACTCTGTCTTAACAGAAACAACAAAAAATCCCCAGCTGAGCATGGTGGCACACACCAGTGGTCCCAGCCACCTGGGAGGCTGAGGCTGGAGGATCGCTTGAGCCCAGGAGTTTGAGGTTGCAGTGAACCATGACGGCGCCACTGCACTCCAGCCTGGACGACAGGGCGAGACCCTGCCACAAAAGAAGAAAAAAAGAAAACAATAATAATAAAAGGACAAATAATAAAAGTTTGGTGCTTAAAGTGCAAAAGCTAGCACCCATTCAGAAAATGCTCGGCAAGTCCAGCATGACTTCTTCTGCAATTTTGGACAACGGAGGCATCCTGTACCCTGTGCTGTGCTGATCTGCGGGTCTGCCCTTAGAGAGGACCAGTGCCTGCCTCCCTGTGCAGTGCTGACTCCGAGCCCATCCAGAGCACCTGGGAGCATGTGGGCTCCCACAGAGACAGGTTCTGTGATCGCGAGGCTCACCTCACAGCTCAGGCTCCGGACACAGGCCTGGCGGACGATGCTGAAGAGCTGGGGGTGGCTGGGGTGCTGGTGGCTGACGTATTTAATGGAGGTCTCTTTATCGTGGCTGATATACCCCGGGTGCCCTGCAGCAAGTGACCGGCAGCCCTGTCCATGAAAAGGAAAAGTAAATCTGTTAGTTGGAAAGCAGGGCAACAAACTCTTAGGTTTATGCAAATCTGAACTTGGAAAACTCAAGCTATCTTTGTATAAAAATAATTGGCTTCCAGATTTATACTTATCTGAAGATTTAAATGTTTCCTAAAGAGGAAAACAGAACACAGAGATCACAGAGATTGCCAGAGGCTGTTCCCAACAGATACTTGCTGAGTGCTTACGAAGCAGACAACATGAAAAGGGCCCTGCATGCTCCATCTCATTCAATCCCAAGTGCCACCCTCTGAGATAACGTCTGTGAGAAGCCCCATTCTACAGAAGACAAAACTGAGGCTGAGGTGAGAAGCAGCTGGCCGGAGGGTGAGGGGCTCTGTGGTGGTAGCATTACCCACTGCCCCCCAGCCTATGTCATTGGCTCTGAAATAACACCTGGAAGGGGCCTCAGCACAGGCGAGAGGCCTAATAAAGAACAGGCCAGGCACCAAGCTCCAGGATGTTGGTGTGGCAGCTCACCCCGGCAGCCCCACTGCCTCGCTGCCCCGCTGCAGCCACCGTCACTCCGGTGCTGAGGCTGCACGCCCTGGAGCTGCCCCGACCCCAAGACTGCGTGGCAGTGCGTCAGGCAAGCCCCTCCCCACAATGTCACAGGATTCCTCCAAGGGCAACCCCAACACCAGCTCAAGGACGCCCTAGCGGCCTGGCAGTGCCCTCCTTCCCCGGTCTGAGGTGCTCCCCACCCCCCATTCCTCACAGGCGTTTCCAGCAATGGACGCAGCTCTCACATGTCCTCTGCTTCTGCAGTGGAACCAAAAGAACAAGCTTGGGTTCCTGTTTGCACTGCAGTGACAGGGCCGACACTCAGCCCTGATTTCGGGCCCTGACCCAGGTCCTCCACACAAACAAGTGACCCACGGGGGAAAACTCACACTCATTCCCAAGAGCTCGAGAGCTGATGGAGTGACCCGCCGAGAACACTGGGGGTTCTGGGAGCAGGAAACTCCGCTGGGAGCAGGAAACTCCGCTGGGAACAGGGGTCTTTGGGGACCTGCCCCCAGGACAGGCTGGAGTGTGTGAATACAAACATGAAGGCCATGGCAGGGAGGCAGAGGGGGTTAAAGAAGTTAACACAGGCGGGGCATGATGGTTCACGCCTGTAATCCCAGCACTTTGAGAGGCCAAGGCAAGTGGATCACCTGAGGTCAGGAGTTCAAGACCAGCCTGCCCAATATGGTGAAACCCCATCTCTACTAAAAACACAAAATTAGCCGGGCGTGGTGGCAGCCACGTGTAATCCCAGTACTCAGGAGGTTGAGGCAGGAGAATCGCTTGAACCTGGGAGGCGGAGGTTGCAGTGAGCCATGATCATACCATGGCACTCCAGCGTGGGCAACAAGAGCAAAACTCTGTCTCAAAAACAAACAAACAAAAAAAAGCTACAGTCAGGACAAGCAGAAGGAACTGAAGGGCCCCTGAGAAGCAGTCTGTGTCACCCTGGGAGGCTCCATCCACTGCTCTCAGGTCCTCCCGTCCATCCCACACCTACTGCAGGGATCGCAAAACAAAGACCCCAAAGACACTTGCCTCGCACATGTCCGACTTTTTGGGCCCTGGGCTGCTGGACTCAACGCTGGCCCCCTCTGCGGGGCTGTGTGCACGCATCCGACTGCTCATCTGAATGCCGCCTTCCTCTTCCTCCGCCTGCTCGCCCTGGCCAGGACTGTCCTCATTCCCAGCCCCTTGGGGAAGTGGGGCGTGCAGGACCTCCGTGCAGAAGAGAGTGCGGGGGCCGTGGAGCTCACAGAAGTGGCAGAGAGCCACGATGGCATTCATGGTGCCTTGGAGACTGCGAGAGGCCTGTGGAGGACAGGGGACATGTCAGCTCGCCAATGCCTATTCACCCCATGAAACCTCCCCAGCCCCTCTGGAGCACAGGGAGCACCTGGGTGCCATGGTTGCCTGCCCAGGAGAGGCCACCCGCCAGTTCCCCATCCCCTTGCTTTGCCCCAGTGCTGCACTGGATGCAGGAGAGAGGAGAGGAACAGAGACAGGATCTTCCCACCGGAGTCACAGGAAACAGGGGAGGGGACGATGTGGACCAGTGATAGCACAGCTGGAGTTGTGACAGAGCCAGAGTCGCAAAGCCAACGGCACAGGGAAGGAATGTCCTCGAGTGACATGAACTGCAGCCAAACATGGCAAACCCCGTGGGAACAAACAGATAAAAGGCCACAGGGAGAGGGTCCTCCACCCAATACGTATCTGCTGGGCACCTGCTCCATGAGAGGCGAGGCGCTAGGTGACACAATGCTTCCCTCGGCAGCTTACCTCCTGCAGGGGGTGGGGGGCGGACACAGGAAAACTGCTTCCTGCGAGAGGCCCGCGTGGGGAATGACCAGAGGAGGCAGGAGCCTGGAAGGACTGGCTTACGGGCCAAGCAAGAGATGAAGGGCAGGGTGGGTGCTGTACTGCCGGAGGGGCATGTAGGGTCCGGTGTTTGGAGAGGAGCAGCAGACAGGGTGGAGGCTTTAGGAAGCAGATCTTACAGCTCCTCCAGGCCACAAAAAGACCCTGGATATGTTATCAGAGACTGGGGAGGCTTTGGGGGTTCTGATGAGACATGAGAGAATGTGAATTTCACTTGAAAAGGTTCAGTCATGCCCATGTGCAGAAAAGATGGCGGGGGCCAGGGTGGAGGTGGGGAACAAGCTGAGGCACCCTGCTGACTGATCTGAACAGGAAGGGACAGTGGCCCGGGACAGGGTGGCAGATGGTGAAGCGGCACAGTGCGGGTGGGGGTGCAGAGTGCAGAGGAGGAGTGAGCAGGGGAGGAGGCTCAGTGAGTGCCTGCCAAGCCTTCACGGGGACGGGCCACTGCAGCAGAGCCAAGCGCTGCGGTCAGGGATGGCACGTGGGACCTCTGTGGAGTGCAGCCCTTGCAGGCTCAGAGGTGGAGAAGGGAGGACAGCTAGCCAAGGTGACCAAGCTCAGGCAGTGAGGCCAGAAGGGAGCTCCAGGGTCACCCCAGTGACCAGGTGAACAAACTACTTTAGCAAGGTGGGACTGGAATGTCACATGACCTTAAAAAGGAAGGAAACCCTGCCACAGCTATGGCACCGCTGAACCTGGAGGACATTACGCCAAGTGATCTACGCTGGTCACAAACAGATAAACACTGTAGGATTCCACTTAAATATGAGGTACCTAGAGTCCTCAAAGCCACAGAGACAGAGAGCGGAATGGCGGCTGCCAGGGGTGGAGAGGGAAGAGCAGGGCACAGTTCTAGAGATGGAAGGTGGCGATGGCTGCACAGCACTGTGAACATACTTCATGCCACCGCACTGCACACCCAACGGTGGTTCAAATGGCGCATTTTAGGTCATGTATTATTTCACCACAATCTTTTAAAAAGGCGGAATGGTAACCTGCAGAACAATGATGAGGTCAAAGGTGACCTTAACACAGTTTCCGGTGGAGAAAAAGCTCACGGGAGTGGGTAGAAAGAGCCCTTTGGAGAGTTTCTGTGGCAGAGCCAGCAAAGGGACACCTGGTGCGGACATGGAGTCAAGGGAAGCCCCAAGCTTGGCCACAGTATGGCTGGGATGCTGGCGGAGCCACGCAAAGGCCAAGGGCAGCTACAGGCACAAAGTCTGAGGGACACCACGCACACACTGCAGAGGGCTGGCCGAGGAGACATCCATATACCTTCCTAACGGATGCAGGAAAGCCAGAGAAGGCTTTACAATGGGGATGTGTCATGGGGCTCTGACAGGCAGAGAAGTTCGCGAAACGAGACCGCAGAAGCAAAGGTGCACAGTGGGGACAGCCACAGCCAACAGCCTAACATGTGACACAGCCTGACACATGCAGCCAGACCCACACTGTCCATATGGTGGCCACAGCCACGTGTGACAATTTAAATTTAAAATGTAAATTAGCTAGGAGAGGCCGGCACAGTGGCTCACGCCTGTAATCCCAGCACTTTGGGAGGCCAAGGTGGGTGGATCACTTGAGGTCAGGAGTTTGAGACCAGCCTGGCCGACGTGGTGAAACCCTGTCTCTATTAAGAATACAAAAATTAGCCAGGCGTGGTGGTGTGCACTGGTAGTCCCAGCTACTCAGAAGGCTGAGGCACGGGAGTCACTTGAAGCCAGGAGGCAAGGTTGCAGTGAGCCGAGATCGCATCACTGAACTGGAGCCTGGGCAACAAACTGAGACTCGGTCTCAAAAAAAAACCCCAAAACAACAAAAACAAAACAAATTAAAACAAAAAACTTAGCTGGGCGTGTTGGCAGGCACCTATAAACCCAGCTACTTGGGAGGGTGAGGGAGGAGAATTGCTTGAACCTGGGAGGTGGAGGTTGCAGTGAGCCAAGATCACATCACTGCACTCCAGGCTTTATGACAGAGCAAGACTCCGTCTCAAAAA